TTCTAAGTAGAGGTCTTCGCGCTGGAATTTCCCGCAGTTGCACAAAAAAATTGTCTTGTTTTGCTATGTGCTTGTATTTAAGGTTTTTGGATAATGATAACCTCTTTTAGAGTCCGACCAAATGTGAAGTAAAGTATCCTCGTGAGACTAAAACCAATCTTGAAGCAGAAGACTATTGTAAAGGTGCCGCACCATATGATGTGGTGAAAGCGGAGCCAGGGTCACCAACAATATGCTTGTTTGGTATAGAATCTTTTATTGGTTTTCTTCAAAAAAGTCGTAAAGTATTCCTTTATTAATGATTGATTCAATTCATTCCTACTAAGGCAAGCTAAACATAAGGGTTGCCACTTTACGCCTTTTTTGTTTAGCAGAGATAAAAGGTGAAAAAACGTACTTGTTAAACATTATGCAGAGCAGCATAAAAACAGTTGGCTAAACATGAATCACACATCAGCTTAAGTCAGGTCAAACGTAATTTTAGCGCCTTTTTTAAGCGCTGCTCTTCGAAAAAAGAAAAGCAAAGATGCGAAGTTAATTTTTTTCCCTGTGGTCTCCTGTTCCATTTTGATTTTCATGGATTTGTCCCCACCTCCCTTTGCTCTAACTGCAAAGTTTGCCCTTTCTTTAACCACAACAACTATGATTAATGTACTGAGATACTAAAATATGATTAAAGCTTTGGTTGTAGAGAAGGGCTACACATGTGATGACCACGAAGAAGAACTTTTTGACAATTGCTACATAGTCGTGGAGAAAGATGGACCATTTACACGTGATGCATGTCCGGAAGGGTACTCACTTCATATCCTAGAGAGCAAACAAGAATTTAAATACATTTCAGGTTGGATACAATAGTAGTAATTCAATTACTTAGAGCCCTATTTCAGCTATATATGACAATAGCTATCAAAAATTATATATCGGGAACACTGGTGACAATGCAAAATGGTTGAATGTTCAAACGCCGAAGCCGCTAAGAAGAAGAGCAAGAGATGATTCAGGTTAACGCATTGTTGCTCTATTTACATTCAAACATCACTTAAAACGTGATTATTGAAATGAATCACGCTGTAAGCAAATTCAACCAAGATAAAGGAGCCGGTATGATTTATTTGCAGCAGATGGACATGCTGCGTTTTTAGGCGCCATGCTCTGGAAAGTTTGCTAGAGACGAATAGGCCAGTTATCAAGGTGTAACAATTGTGATCAATATTGAGCTTTAAAAGAATCGTTTTCCATTTCAATTAGACCAGCTTCCAATGAAGCATGAGCGGAAATTGTTTCCGTTACCTAGGCACTGAGTTTAGCCATTTTACGAAACATTATCTCATAAGAGGAGAATACTAAATTGGCTTAAAAATTAGTTGAGACCTGACCTATGCCAGCCACAAAGCTCGAAACGCTTCGGTGCTTCGCTCATCTGCGCATTCAAGTCATGAAATTTTCGGGCTAATGTACAAACCTGTCTTTCAGAGATCTTTTGCTACACGGGAATCTCAAACTCTGTCCTTTTTATCTCCATCTCCCGTTCTATCAATTCAAAATTTTCGTCTGCCTTAGAACTATAGTCAGAAAGAGAAGAATCACAGAAAAGCAAATTTGCAACAACAGAAAAATAACGAGGGCGTTATGCAGTGTCACTGGAATGCGTGCATTCACTACTATGCTTAATAAATTGATGTTGCATTAACACCTGTTTTTCCCGGAAGTCTGTAGAGAATGTTTTTAGTCAACGAAGTAGCAAATTTTAGGTGGTGATAAACCGATTTACGTCCGAATCAAAAGTGGTCCAAATAGAGATGGTACAGTAAGAGGAGGCGCATACTGGGGACCAGCGAAGAAGAATCTACCTTATTTGTGCTCAAGACCAGCTATTCCTTACGAAGAAAGTAAGCTGTTTCTGCATATTATCTTAGTCATTATTTATCTTAAGCAAATGTATTTCAGCTTCTCAAGATTTTGATGAACACTTGAAACAGCTTGGATTTGATACGATAATGGTGAAAAATAAATTTGGGCAGAAACGGACTTTTGTAGATCTCGGCGCAGTATTCGCGGTTGAAGGAGATCAATTCAAAGCAGATTTCACTAAACTGCATGATCCTTGCTCAGTCAGTTTTTTCAACCACGGTCTTCATTTCCTGTAGAAATCTTTCTGAAAGAGTTGCTTTGATGCTAGTATATTGTATCATTATAAAAGTTGTCCCGTGCTGATTATGCCCTGCAATATTGACTGCATGCTCTTTGATATCAACGAGGCCAAAATGAGACAAAAATCTTGCCATTTGCAACGAAAAGAGTGCTCATACACGCTGCTTAACTGAACTAAAAGCTCTCTGCTATGCTGGTTACAAACACAATAATCCTTTCATCGAATAGGATGAAAATCGGCCTAGCAAGCCTACTTGAAGACTAACATCTATTTTGCACGATAGGAACATCCTATAGGAGAGATGCGGTAAGTGATGGGACTCACAGATTTCTGAGAAC